TGGAATGCAGAGTCAAGTGGTGAAAACAAGTTGCGATCTTGCCAGTTCAAATCACAACAGCTTCATCAAAAAAACTCATGGTTCATGAGTCTCTGCGAGGCTCGCAATCAAGGACTTTCCGAAGGAACAAAGGCTGGCAAACAGCGTGTGAGAAAGACTGTCCTGCCACCAGCCGGCAGGCATTGAGGATCAATTTGATCTCTTGCGAAAAGATTTGTGAGGCCTGGAAACAAAACAAAGTGAATGAGTCATTCTTAAGGCTGTTTTTTTCATGCGTGCCCTCGGATCTGCTCAGCTCCCTCACAGCAGGTCCACCGAATCCTGGACAAGCCTGGCAGCAACCCCGCCCTTAAGTTGATGGAGGTAGCTTCCTGTGCCTTACAGGGTGCGCAAATTCTTTGTGCCCTCAATGCTGGGTATGATGTGCCTTTGGGAACGCCAAAAGCTCAACGTACTCCTATTGGTCAAGCGACCAGAACTGGAGCCTAGTTTCTGCTACATTTAGTGTGTTTCTGAACGCAGGTAGCAAAATAAAAGGGTCGACCTCCGATAGATGAACACACCTTAGTCCTATGCGTGGCGTGTGATTAGCAGGAGTTGAAACCAATCAACCTCTAGAACAGCAGCCCCTTTTCAGCAGCGTGGAAAGTTCATTTCCGCAAGTACTCTTTCGATGAAGAGACTCGTCTCGTTCAGTGTTAGTTTCAACTGCCAGAATCAGAATATGAGATGTGTCTTCAAAGTTGAACCGCACACACATCCTTTGGGTGCGTTCGAACGACCCAGGACAGTTGTCAGTCTGCGGGATGCCGTCAAGCTGTTGAAACAAACATCATCGCCCACAAGGACAATTGAATCTATATGACATTGAGTCCAGTTTAGTTCTGTACCAGGACCGTTCGCAAACCTGCCTTGAAGAAAAAGCCCAGCAAGCCCCAGGTCAACCGTCCTTCGAAGCCAAGGATTGCACAGGGTGTTTCAAGTTTTGTTTGTTTCCAAGTCAACCTTGCTTGGATGGTGATTGGTGCAGGTTTTATTGCAAGACCAATGTGCCCATCGGTGGTCCTGAGCGTCCAAGAGGACCCAAGAATGTCAATGAGACCTTCAAGTGGGCATCTACTTACCTAGGGCGATTGTGCCACCACTTTGGACGTGCCAAGGTGCTCAACAAGTTACAGAAGTGGCGCTGGAACTTTACCACTTCCTTTAGTGGTATTGGCTGCGCTGAAACAGCACTGTACTTAGAACTTGAGTTCCCACCCCTGGAGTTCAAAAAAGTTTGTGGTCCTAAGGCTGTACTCTCTGTGCAGGGAGCGGTGAGTGAGGCAGTTCCTTTGCACTGGGCACCTCGTGTGAGGACTATGTGGGCTTGTGAGAACAATTCTCACTGTCAGGAGGTTCTAGCCAACACTTACGGTGATTCTTGTCTCTTTGGGGACATCATGGAGTTTGATTTGCCAGCGAAAACAGAGCTCTTCTGTCTGAAGCACAAGACCATGTGCCAGTGCACTGTACCTCGTGAGAAGAACAGAAACTCGTCATAAGTACTCATTACAAAACTGTACCCAAGACTAGAGTCCAGCAACATGTTTGGTAACACGTTGTTTGGTGAGCTCAGGACAACGAGTGCATGTGGCAGGAGCTGTGCTTGCAAAACCTTATCCCTCTCATCTCTCATTGTTTGATCTACCTGTCTCTCCAGGAGCACCATGCCAACCATACAGCCTTATGGGGCTACGAAAGGGTGAGCACGACATCAAGTTTGAGACACACATGAAGTATTGGAACCAAGCGGAGGATGTGGCAGACATTCACATCTGTGAGAATGTGACAGAGTATGAGCTTGAAGCATACAAGAGCCGCTTTTTGGGCCCCCCATTGGGAGTGTCATGTGGCCAAGGTGGACCCACGTCTTTGGGGCTTTGGATGTTCACGACCAAGGGTGTATGGAATCCTTTGGAACACAAACCATGTGAAATGGGATCCACAGTTTCCCTTCATGGAAGTCTTGATGTGCTTGAGGGCTGCTCCAATTATGAAGGCCCAGGATTTCTTTTTCCAAGATCGGATCCCTACACCACTGACTCCTGGGAATGAGGCTTAGCTACAAACTGTGCATGTACCTCTTTAAGCCCTTGATGTTCCCTGCGTGATGCGTACAGCTCAGGAAAGGAATCTGTGGGACTACCTGAACTCCAAGCTCTATTCGCGCAGAAATTGGAAAGTGGCCGACCTATCCCAACTCGTGCGAAACGGCAGGGGCAGAGCAGAGTGTGTGGATGGCTCCCTCATGACTATCACTACCAACAGCGGCAATTTGTATTCAAAGGTCCCAGCACTTTCAAATAAACCAAACCTGTTTCTTCCCTGCCATGAAAAAGGTTTGTGGTGACAATCCCATGTTTCCAATCCCTGATAGGAGAAGAAGCGTATCATGAAGCCTGAAGAGTTGCTGACGACACATTGCCTCCCAACAACTGCCCACCATGCCCGCATCTCTCGCAGTCCTCAGGTGCAGCTGGGACATGTGTGTCCAACCTCAGTAATTCGTATGGCAGGCAATGCCATGAACTGCCCATCAGTGGGAATCATGATGTATGCTGCGATTCTAGGGCTTTCGTGACTGTTTGGACTTTAAGGTTGAATGTAATTCAGAACAAGATGGGTTGGAATGCAAGACTCCAAACCTATCTACAATGATGCTCCGTGAATGCCTGGACTCGTAGAACGAGAAAAAACAATGTGTTGTGTTTTGTCACCTTTTGAAAGCCTGCCAAAGACTGTGTCTTTGTACCCTCTTATGTTGGAGATGTCAACAGACATTTTGGTTTGAGTGCAGTTTGCTGGGGACGATGGGTAAGCGCGGCGCAAATGCTGGGCCGCCATCGGCCAAGCAACGAAAGCTTGACCTTGCAGTCGGTCCATGGAGTGAGCGGATGATCCAGAGTGCGAAGAACCCTGTCTTGCAAACAGTGTTTCCTCAGAGCCCCATGTACTCCAACCAAAACAGTGACCGTTTCTCATGTTGATCAGGACATTCGACCCTGCTGACGACAAACACCCGGTGGGATGGTTGCTCGCCAATGCCAAATCAGAGACCTATGAAGCAATCCACACCTGGTTAGAAAGCGTCCTCGGGGAAACTATTCCACAACCACCTTCTGTGGTTATGCCGGACCAGGGTTTGCAAACATAATGTGTTTGAACTAGCGTGAGAAACTGTAACTAGTAAGTGCAAAACCAACTGTGTTGCGATGTGCAAGTCGGACATTGGAAGGAGGACTCAGTGCAGACTACCATGCACATCCCGTTGCTCACATTCAAACCTTCAATGCCACCTGATGGATTGCCGATGCTTGGGGATTGGGTGGCAACGGCCGAGAGCATCTGGGCTATCGGCTACGAAGGCTTTAGAGAATCGGTGGAATTTCGAGGACTGGAATCCGCTGTGGCTGGCCAGCCTTTGAGTTGGTCAAGTATCCAGGTCTCGAAAGGATGTGGTCGGGTCACCATCCTCCAGTTCACAGCGTTCTGGACGTACTTCCAGCTGAAGAACATGCTGACCCCAGAAGAGGTAGACGACTTCAAAAAGTTACTTGGAGTATGGTCGCGTCGCCTTTGAGAGGTGTGGATCCCCAAAAATTCAAAGGTGATGGTGGCACCGCCATCGTCGCCTCGCACACAATGGACCTCGACCAGGCCCCAGGGAATAGAATTTCCTTTACCCGAGCTGGCCCCCCCATTATTCCCCCAGTACCTCAAATTTCAAGATGTCAAAGGTGATGGTCCGGTCGCCATCGTCGCCTCGGGCATATTGAGATTGCAAGTACTCTGTCTGATCAGATTTCCTTATATAAATTAATATTCCCAGGATGGCCAAGGTATATAATGAAATCCAAAATGTCAAAGGTGATGGTGGCACCGCCACCATCGCCTCGAAAAAAATTTGGGATCCGGGGTGCCCAAAGGTGATGAGAACATATTGATAAGAGGATTTCCCTTTCACCCTGGAGTGGTGTGCTCTTGAGTGTTTTGCAATGCGTACCTGTCTGTATTTAGTTTTAAAATTGATTGAGACTTGTTGAGTTTTGATGAGGTGGCTTCGGACTGCAACGACCATCCACAGTGTCTACATCAAGCAGGATAACTTGCAGGATTACATCTGGCGCCGTATCCAAGTCTCGGATGCACAAGCTGAGAGACAAAAGAAATCAATTCTTCAACTCTCTCTGACGTTTCATTCTCGAGCAGAGACGATCTTGAAGGACGATGGCTCCATCCACCAACTTAGGGGGGAACAATAATCCTGTTTGCTCAAAACTAGTCAGCTGTACCCTCAACATCCCTGATCGATCCCAATGGGCCCGCACAGGAGAAGCATGGCCTCCTTCCTTCTGGAGAAGCTGGATATCGCGCAGCTTGGGACCTGGCAATCGAGGAGTTCAATGCATATGGATTAGCAAAGCGATCTGCGAAGGCCCAAGTTGACAAGGTCCAGTCAAATCTGATGTTTGGCTTCAAAGCACCTTAGCTCAAAAGACATCAGCCCAACACTAGATAGACTCCTTCTCTCAGGTGAACTGTTTACCCCTATATAGTCAGTGGAAACATGGGTTTCTCTGTTGTATCACCATCTACTATCTATTCGGGTCAGGGCTTGCCAACCACTGAGGTAGGTGTTTGTGATGCGGCATGGAAGTTGCTCACCGCCCACCTACATGCCAACAAGTTTGAAGCATCAGGCAGGACCAGGGATGGGTTACAAAGAAATCAGGAGTTGAAAATTCAGGAGTTTGGAATCACTATTCAGGAGTTCTTTGTTCATCAGTTCATGTATTCTAATTGTTGTGTCGCTGGTCCCTGCAGCCTTCCATCGCGACACTCTTCTTCACCCACGCTGGCTCTTGGCAGGGAAGCCAAAAGGAGCTGATGGAGTGTGGGGTGAGATTTTGCAGGTCGATGCAGCGAAGCAACACATCTTTCTGCAGCGGGTCCTGTTTATGTTTGACTGCATGAAGAGATCTGCAGGCAAAGCCCAGAGTTTGAAGTTGTCTCTGGAGCGGTGGAACTATGAGTGTGACATGGCATGTCTAGGTGGCTATGTGCTGCACGAGATGCAGCAGCATCGCAATGAGGAGAACTTACATGTTTTTCCTGCAGAGACGATTGCACTGCTGATGTCTCGGTTCATCGAAGGGTAACTTGTCACGTTCATTCATTGCTTTCTTTGTTTCATAAACTCAAGTTGTTTGCGGGCTGTTGGGAACACAAAGCTCAAAGTCTGTACCTAAGTGAAGGCATTACCTTAGATTGCTCTCCTTCGCTTGTTATCCTGCGAGCTCAGGGACTACCACGAGGAGCTGAAGCCTTTGGTGGAATCAGGAGACCCATGCTTCAAGGCAGACCAATGCACCATGTGGATCGAGAACGTGAAATGCCTCCACAGCGAGGAAGACGCAACAGCTATGGCGGATGACAAGATCACTGCATTGACTGCAGACCACACCAAATTGCAGTTCGAGGCGGACGCCCTGTCGCTGGCTAGGGATGCAGCTCAGTTGGCCAGGCTCTTCAATGAGGAATCCAAATCAGAGAGGGCGATGCGAGTGGCAAAGGTGTGCCACCTTAGACAGGAGAACCAGATTGGTTCTGCCCTTACTTCTAAGCATATGCAAGGATGCTGCCACCATCTCGCTGGATCCATGTCTGAACTGCAGGAAGAGTTGACCAAGGTTGGGGTTGACTAAGGTTGGTGTCCAATACTGGTCCAATACTGGCCTGGGTCCAATACTATACCCAATGTTCATCCCCCCAAATGGTCAATCTTTTGAAAACAAATCCACCAATCATCATTAAAAGTTACCCTTCAGTTCATGGTGAAGAGCAAGGACGAGAACATGTGTCTGATCATTTGGATCGACTTCATGAAGCTGGGAAGAGTCACCAATGCATGTCTCAACAACGTGGTCGAACTGGCCAAACGCGCTCTCGCCTCTTCTCCTGAGAAGGCAGTTGCTTTTGCAATAGCGCCTCAGTTGGCTTCAGATCGAAGAGGTGGCATGCGAGCTGAGTGGAGGAGACCTGTGGTGGGTGTTAAAAATTAAAGTAGAGCTACATGCATCATCCCAAGTTTATGGAAGGCTGCATTAATCAAAAACAGGTCATGAAAGTCTCAGGGGCAATGGATCAAAATCATAGTTGAAGGCTCTTTCATCTTTCATTCTTCTTCAACCAGACTTGTCGCAGGCGTGTGGAAGACAAGCTGGATGCCAAATCGCTACATGCGGAGAACATCAGCCTTCACATGGAGGTGGCTCCTCCTACAAAGAAAGTACGATTGATGTTTCCAGGTTGGCTCATATTCCAATCCGGGAGTGTGGACTCGAATGTGTGGAGCGCATCCCAGCTCATGCAAGAGAGGACCCATGCCCTGAAATCCTTGTGTTGCAACCCTGGTTCATTAGAAAACCCTAGATTCTAGATCTTCTAGGCTCGTGGCATTGAACCAAGAGAGATACTAACTAGTGCAGTAAGGGTTTTGAATTGGAATATGTTTAGTCAATTGATTACACAATTTACTATAATCAATATCACTTCCCAGTCCCTCTTCCCAATCCCAAGATTCCTTTTCGATTGTCGGAGGACAACCAGAGACCCTTTGCCGTGGGTGCCAGAGAGCCAGTACACCGTCCCCACAGGCCATGATGCTACTCCACATGCATCGGAAGGTGTCAGGCCTGACGGTTCCAAGAATTTGTTGGTTCCAAGAATTTGTTCACATCTTGTTTGCATGGTGGCTGAGGAATGGTGGTTGTCACAGGTTATGAGAATATGAAGGGGACACCTTAGTGTAGTGGCTTGCATGGAGAGTTCCAATTAGCTTTAGCGGCTCCAACCTGCTGTCAATGAATTGGGCACTGGGTGTTCCTGTGGAGGTCCCTATCGGACGTCCAAGAAACTGCGCAACTGCTGAGCGGAAACAGCATGCCTGAAGCAGTTCTGTCTGCTCTGATAGCATCCTCTGGTTGCAGTTCGAAGATTGGAGTGATCAATCTTACACCTTACGATGGCCACCTCGAAAGCCATTTATTGCATGCCACCGTTGGAGGTTCTGGGTATCAGTTCAAAAGCCTCTCTCTCAGCACCGACTTGACAGTGATCCAGCATAGTGAGAAGATATGCGCTATGCTTCTTTTCGAGGATTGAGGGGCTCTGATAACCATCGGAACTAATGAAGTGTCTAACTAGTGCTGTTAGATAGATCTTGTGATGTGGTGATTGATGTTATTGTTGCAAACCATACCTTGGTCGGTCAGGACTGGAAGAAGGGCGGGAAGATGATGGGCAAAGTGAGACCCTACGATCCAGTCCCGCCACCACAAGAGAAAGTGACTACATCGGATTTCCCACTCAAGCTCGCCAAAATGACAGTGGATGGGTCGAAAAAAGGCATCGAGAAGTATGTCATCACCCTGTCGAACGAAATCAGGAGTATGCATCTGGACCATCCTGTGCATGGAGGTGTATGGCGGGACCTGATCGTTGACTTCGACAAGAAGCTTCTCGACCAGAAAGACAATTGATGGGAACAAACACTCAAACACGCAATCCTTTCGATTGTGACCCTGGCTCTCCTTTCAATTAGTGACCCCAAGGTTCTTCAGAATGATAGAAATGTCGAATGGATATGAATGGATTGTTTCTGTAAACTACTTATTTCAACATTTGTCAACATTAAAGGTGTTGACCTCATGGTTTCTCTTGAGGTTTTGTGCAGCCTGCACACCTCTCACAGATACGCAAATTGTGCCTGTGGAAGAAGAAGAGCCAGAGCCAACACCATTCACCTCAGAGCCCACAAACATCGAGGATCTTCAAGCGAAGTACCTTGTGGAGAACAAAATGCCTGGTCGAGTGCCGGGATCTACGTTGTTCTTGACCACTGCTGTTCAGCGGAATGGGGAGAAAGTGGAAATGGTTGAAGGTCAAAGCTTCAAGCTTTGGTTGGTGGCTCGTCTAAGTAATCCTTTGTTGGATCAACTTGCACTCAACATCATTAGTCATTAGTCTTCATCTTCATTGATCTGGTTCATTCTCTAGGTTTTCCCTTGAACAGTTTCAGGAGTTCCCTCATCTACCTGTTTCTGAGGTTGCCCACCAAGACATCGAGATTGACTCTCAGGAGTTCCAGCTTGCTCATGGAAAATCGACCTGGCTGAAGCCCGATCGCATCCAGAAGCTGCTGCGTGAAAACACAGGAGCAGGTGAAGGCGGGCCTACTGAGAGGAAACCTTGCTTCCTAAATCCATGAACTAGTTGCGATGAGTCACCAAGTCTTGAGCACTCAAACCTTGAACGTATGCTCTTGGTTCAAGAGAAGGGCGGCTAAGTGTTTTATCAATCAGTGACGTTTCCTTTCGGTATCAATCAATGGCCGAATTGTCGCTGGCTTCTATTTTGGCCAAACATGGTATCAAGCAGGACTGTGGAAGCTCCAATTCTGATTTTGCAATGTAATCCCGTTTAAGTTGATACTCCCCCCTCAACACTTGTGTCCTAGCATTCCTTCAGGACCTGGAGGGGTTCCTTCAAAGCAGTCCCAGAGCTATTGAGACTCCACCATCGCAAGTGGTTGGTGTCTCAGACCCTTTGTCTCTTTAACTTGAAGCTTCTCTCAACGGCAGGAATCAATTCCTTAATCAAATCTTAGTAGATTCATACACCGTGACCGTTTCCATGTGGTCGTTTTCCGTGATCGAATGGCTTTACCAAGGTTACAAATCACTCGCCCGGTGACAAACACAGTGCTACGCCTCCCGCTAGACCATCTCTGCCAATGCATCGAGCCTCAGCGCTGAAAGGTGGTAGCACTCAAGCCACAATGTCCGTGGAGGAGCAAGCTAAGCTGAAGCAGTCGATCGCAGAGAAAATGGCAGAGGTAGGCAAAGATAAAAAATCAGCCAGCAAAGAAGCTGCGCAGGCAATCAAGCAAAGCTTGACAGTAGACCCGAAGGCAAAAGGCAAAGCAAAGGCAAAGGCGAAAGGCAAAGCTCGCAAGGATGAGGATGTTGAGGAAAGGGAGGAGGAGGAGGAGGAGACCCCTGAAGGCGGACAAGGCAAGACGAGGAAACCTTCCACACGCAAACCAAAAGCATCACCAAAGGGCAAGACAGCAAAAAGCAAGGCGGCAGCAAAGAGCAAGGCGGCAGCAAAGAGCAAGGCGGCAGCAAAGAGCAAGGCAGCAGCAAAAGGAAACCGCAAGAGTGCAAAGGGTGGGAAGGCGAGGAAACGTGAAACGTGTTGATGTTGCGTTTTTAAATAGACTCATGTATCAAAGTGGTAGTGATGGAAATGGGGAGTGCCTGTGTTTCTTTCATTTCTTCATGAGACCCCTGAGACCAACACGTGCCCTGAGACCACCGGGGAGATCTCTGAGAGCATGGAGCCCCCCTGAGACCATGGACGAACCTGAGGCCAGTTTGTTGTAAAGATTGGCTTTTTTGTTTCTTGGTCTCTGAAATCACTTCATCAACCCCATCCAATTCCCATTATATGAAGTAAAGTTGTTTCTGCAGGAGGAGAATCCCCTTGACTCTGAGGAGGAGTTCTCAGACGAGGAGTCCCCTACTCTCAGCTTGGGGTTTTGGGACAAGGACCAGAAGACGGGAAAGGGAAAGAAGAAGGAGGGTGAGAACGTTGAGCATGAGACAGGTGAGGGTGGTCCAGAGAAGCTTCATCATATTTACTGGGAAGTGGTCCATGAAGCGCAGAAGAAGATTAGTAAGGCCAACCCGGACATGAAGCCTAAAGAGGTCCTTGCAAAAGCCAGGGAAGCGTGCCCTGGATGCACAACTCATCTTAACAGTCTTAACCATTCAATGATTATGGAGCTGAATTGATTCGAATTCGATGTATTTGGATGTATTTGGTATATGAACTCATTTTTTGTTATCTCTACCAGGCATATAACAATCACTCATCTACATTCTCGGACCCCACTCAAATGGTGGGCCACACAGGGTACACACTATCACTGAATGGTTGTATCGACAACCTCAACATGCAGCTAGTCTTATTCCTTATGCCCAGGTGGAAGAGCCATCCTCTTCGTCTGAACGCGATGAAGGGACTGTCCAAGTCTGAACTTAGCAGACGTCGTTTGGTAGAGAATCCAATCCCCAGGAAAAGGAAGCAGAGATCCACTACCGCCAAGGGTGCGAAGAAGTAGATCTATGGGGTCAGCCGCTGCTTTTCCAACACTTCCCACTCACTCTATGCCATGGATGGTGTAGAAATGGGTTTGAGTGGGCCTTGGAGAAGAACTAATCTTTAGCATTCTTTGACCTTACAGTTTGCCGTAGGGGCGTGTCTACGACCTTACATGGAGTAGCATCACACAGCCCGGGGCGACTTTGTGAGAATGGGGTAAAAAGGTGTCTGTCTTTGTCAAGCTCAAGTGAGTGTGTTAGATTGCTGCAAAAATACAATGAATTGCTAGATAGGCTGGGTGTCCTTTTCTTGATGCAGGCAATATTTGGAATTTCATCATCCCGTGCAAAATCACCTCTGACCTGACGAAAGTGATTCTGGAGGTTCAGAGTGAAACCTCCAAGACATGCACGGATTCCAAGCCCTGCACGTTGCGTGATCTGATGCACGAACTCGAAGAGGAAGGCCTGGTGGACACTAAGCTCCACCAACACTCATGTGAAAGGCCTACAAATGTCGCGCCCAACGAAAGATCCTTGGTTCATATCCGTGTTCTTGATGGATTGGAGTCACTCAGAATTGTTTCAGCTTTGAGGATTGTGCTTTGGGACGCTTTGGGCTTAGGCAAAGACTTCTTCATGGTCAAGCCAAATTCATGCCCAGCGATGTTCAGCTACACCCCGGGGTCTGGGAACCTCAAGTGGACCAGCATTGCAAGCGTGTTTCCGAAAGAGGTGAGGTCTGGCCAAGCTGTTCAGTGCCCCCATGCCATCAACTAGTCTGATTTGTCAAATGGTTTGTCATCAACTAGATTCTGGCAGGTGCTTGAGGCAAGCCCTATGCTGACTCGCTATTGGAGAATGGCCTACATGAAGGCAGAGAAGGTGCCTGAACTTAGGCACCAGAAGGTGCCTGAAGATCGATCCCCACAACTCACAACCCCTGAATTGAAAGTTCTTTCTTGAGCCTTTCTGTTCTGCTTCTGCCAGCCCCCATCCCCCCCACCTCTCCATCTCAGGAGTTGCTACCACGTGGCTCGGCACACCAGATTGGAATCATGTGGTGCAACCAATGGAGCTATGTGACTGTGTGTTCGATTGTGTTTATGTGATACAGTGTCATGCATTGCACTTGTGAGGTAAGCCGCTATATTTTATCCGAAAGGATTTGAGTATGAAAGCACAAGAGGTGCTAAGGCTTGTGTGAAGTTGGCTACTATGAGAGCCTATGCTTTTTGTGTGATGCCAACACAGCCTTAGGGAGCGCCACTAGAATAGGGTGTGGTTGAAACAAACTTGTTGAAAACAAACTTGACCTTGCAAACCTCAAAAAAATAGAGCTCAATGAACAAAGCTCAAAGCCTGTTCATGTGGCCAGGGTTGGCTGTGCAGTCATCAATCTCCAAACTTCAAGACTTGTTCGAGCGAGAATGAAATGGCGAAGAGAGATTCGGGCATTTTTTGTGTCACCGATTGCCTTTTTCTTGAAGGGGTTACTTTCCCTGTGTCAGCTTCCCCACTTACATCCCACAAGGATTCACCTCAAGAACCCAACCTCAAATACAATGAAATGACCCTCGAACACAATGAAATCTACTTAATGATAGTTTGATTTCTTGCGACATGTGCAAACCCAGGAAAAGCTTCCACAAAGCCCGAACCCCATGTCAGAGATGGAACCACTTGAGGAGACTTCTTCAACTACTACGAGGTGTGCTCTTCAGCTGAGCATACCCACGGCCTAAATCGTCATAGATATCATGAATCCACCCCAAATCAGACGTGTAAGAATCTGTAAGACATTGGCAAGTCTTCCCCAAACCACGAGATTTGGGCCACTGGCCCAAGTGTTTGGTCAGAAATGATCTAAATAAAGGTGCCCGGTTGTGATAAGGCTCTAGTAGAGCCTTCTGGAGTGAGGCCCGAGCTCTTGTTGTTGCTGTTGCAAGGACATCTTTTGCCAAATGTCATGCGGCTGCACGCCTGGCGGGACGCACGTCAGGAGGGTGTGTTTTCATGTCCCGACGGTCGTGGGAGGAAGTCAAGTCAGGTCAAACGCAGCGATGCATTTTTCTGTTTGTTTTCCGTGTGGGACAGAGTGGTCAAAAGTATATCGATCCTCCAAAAGAAGAGATATCGTCTGAGAAACACACATATCCAGGGGAACACTTCTGTGAAAGTACACAATGAGAAATAAGTTATGAACATGGAACCTGCAGACACCGCTTCCTCCACAAACCAGTGGGCTTTTCCTTCCGTTTTGTGGAGGAAGTGGGAAGTTCCATGACAAATCCAGGGCATATCAAAACGTCTCGATCTACCTCCATCTACCTCGCGACGACCTCGTGCTGAATCCCAGATCCGAGCTGAAGAGCCGTTTTTCCGCGTCGAGTCGATGTGCTGTCTCCAAACGCATCGCGCCCCTTGTCTGCCGGTTTTCTGTTCCAAAGCAAGCGTGCCTAAGTCACTGGGTGTTTCTGGAAACAGCCAAGATAAAGACTTCACTGATCACAAACGCACCACAAAGCTCTGAAAGTTGGAGCAAACCCAGAACTTCCGTAACTTGACTCCTGAACTATACTGAAACCTGGTAGTCAATCCATCCACCAGTACGAGTTCGGGGTAGAATGAGTCATGACTGGACTCTCCGCGAAAGATGTGAATCCATTGGGTCTATCCTATTACCAGTGGATGATGATGGTTAGGTTGCAGGCCTTGTTCCAAAATAATGATTTGCTAGTTTACTGACTGTTACAGGTAAGTTCGGACAAACCCAATGAATCCATCTCTTTCCGAAAGGTCTCTTTCCACACCCTTTCTCTCACCTCGCCTGGCATGACTTCTTGCTGCTCGGGCAGCGGTGTGCTGGGTGGAGGCGCCTGCAGTGAAAAAGGGATGGGCAGTTCACTCTGGTCGTTGACCTCACATTGCTCAACTCTCCCATAGTGTTTGGTTTGTGGTGCCTCCAAGCTACGTCCGCCTACGTGTTGCGCAGGTCTTTAGGTCTTTTTGATCGGCACAATCGGCACAATGACGTCTTTTGGAGGGTCTGTGCATGCAAAGCAACGCCAAGCTGACACCTCGGACCTCAGTAAACTTGGAT